AGGTCCTCCACCTTCCTAGACATGGTTATGATTTCTTGACTAGGGTGAGACTGCCTTAATAACAACAAAAGTAAAATAAATCTTTTCGTTGGCAATCAGGAAACACAGCAGCAGCTCCCGTCCCTTTTTGTGTGATGGGATATGTGTGTGTGTGTGTGTGGGGGGGGTGATGACAGGGTTTCTCTGTGTAGTCCTGGTTGTTCCGGAACTCGCTGTGTAGACCAGACTTACCTTGAACTCAGAGATCCACCTGCCCCTGCCTCTCAAATACTGGGATTAGGGTATGTGCCACCATTGCCCAGCTCTCTTGCTCTTTTTTATTGTTGCTGTTGCTTATGGGCTTTTGGCTACAACCTACCAGGCCTTACAGGTTCTAGGCTCCCACTCTGTTGCTTCACTACACCCCAGTGATGCTTTTCTTCTGTTGTAGGTTTAGTTACGGTTATTCTTGATTGGGCTCCGTAACTGAGCTGGTACTTTGCCTAACCAAGAATGACTGATGTAGTGATGTAGTATTTCTATGTATTAGACATTTCCTCAAGATTGGTGTCTGCCTGTGCAGCTCTGGCTGGCTGGGGAACTCTCCAGTCATCCTGTAAGTGAGGAGTGAGGATAGGTGTAGTTCTCAGTTGGTGCTGGCTTTTACTTTCCTTTGATGACTTTTGTTTTTAACGTTTGTGAGATGACCTCTCACCTTGTAGTCCATACTGGCTTTGTTTTCTTTATTTTTAGGTTTTTGAGATACATGACCTAGAAATTTTAGTCCATCACAAGTTTCCTGAGAGCTCGACTTTGAATATGAGCTACCGGGCCTGATGATTTTAGCAGATTTATTTAAACCGGGCCTGATGATTTTAGCAGGTTTAATTTTTTACAGTGGAACTTACTTGCATGGATTATTAATTTGCTGGGTTTTTTGTTTGTCTTGTAACTTGGTATAAGAGTCACTTTCCACAGTTTCCATAAATTATTCGTTATACTTTAGAAAATTTCACTTTAAGGGGCTTTGATTAGGTTGAAAAGAAAACTGTAGCAGGGTCTTTCTTCCCAAGTTCTTAAAGCAGCCCGTGATTGAACTAGAAACCCTACAGGGAGAACACCAGGGCAAGATGACCATGGATAACGGCACTCACCACTAAGCCTGACAACCTGAGTTGGATTCCCTTGGCCCCGCATGGTGAAAGGGGAGAACCCATCCCCATAAATTGTCCTCTGACCTCACATGTGCCATGGTGTACATGTGTCCTCTTTTCCACATGTGTACCCCATGCAAAGAAAAATGTAAAGAAAGGAAATCATTGAGGGACAGACGCTTCCATCTGTGACTAGAAATTGTGCTGAAGCAAGCATAGTTGTGCAGCCTTTAGTCCTGGCGCTAGGGCAGAGGCAGGTGGATCTTTGTGAGTTCAAGGCCAGCCTGGTCTAGTAGTTCTGTGATAGGCAGAGCTACATAAAGAGACCCTGTCTTGAAAAAAACAAAACGAAACAAAAAAGAAAGGAAAGGAGTACTCACTAATTGCTTGATTTTTCCTTGGGTGGCATCTCTGCTATATTTGAGATTTTCTGGCTTTGAGTTTTCTGAATTGACTCTAAAAACCTTCTGGTTCTTGTGCAGGTTTATTGACTGGTGTAGTGGTGGACTCTGGAGATGGTGTAACCCATATTTGCCCAGTGTATGAAGGCTTTTCTCTCCCTCACCTTACAAGAAGGCTGGATATTGCTGGGAGGGATATTACTAGGTATCTTATCAAGGTAAGTGAAAGGAAATTATAAAAGCTCATTTTCTTTTTAAGTTTGTTTACTGACTTACACAAAAAAAAATCAGTGTCTAAAACAATTTAAGTGCTGGAGAGCTGGCTTGCCGATCAAGAGCACATGCAGGTCTTGTGGAGAAACAGTTCTCTTGGCCTTTCTACCGCTGTACCTCCAGCTCTGTGGAATCTAATGCCTTCCTCTGGACCTTTCAGGCACCAGTATTTGCATGCACATACCCACACACAGACATATAATACGCATAATTTAAAATAATAAACAATTTAAAATATTCATGTACAGCGTTTCTAGCACCACCCAGTATGTCGTTATTGACCTTGATAGAGATTCCAGGGATGGAGCTCAGGCAGATACAGCAAGTGCCTTTTACCTGCCCAAACATCTTAGTAGCCAACAAGGGTTTAATTTTTTACAGTGGAACTTACTTGCATGGATTATTAATTTGCTGGATTTTTTGTTTGTTTTAATGGTAGCTGCTGCTGTTGCGAGGATATGCCTTCAACCATTCTGCTGATTTTGAGACAGTTCGCATGATTAAAGAAAAACTGTGTTATGTGGGTTACAATATTGAGCAAGAGCAGAAGCTGGCCTTAGAGACCACAGTGTTAGTAGAGTCCTATACAGTAAGTATCCTGTGTGAAGTACATCTGTGGGCTGAAAAGGGGTATCTCTGTTTATTAGCATCACTTAGAGGTTGGGTTTGTTTGGTTTTTGTTTTGTTGTGTTTGCTGGACATCAAACCAAGGGCCTTGTATGTACCCAGCAGATTAGTTTCTGCCTTCTGTGTTTGTGGTTTGGATTTGTGTAATATGTTTTCCTGACTTCAATATCTCCTGCTACATTAAGATTTCATGATATAATTCTTGAAGACACCATGTATTGAGAATTAAAACAAGAATTAAATTAGAATGTAATTAGAAATGGAAGTATTAGTTGAGATTCTAGCATCTTCAGAATATCATTTCTCAACATGTTTTGTGCAGTGTTATTTGTCTGGGTGCTACTTACGAGTTACACAAAATAGAATAAATATAAATGTCAAATAAGTTGTGGAGATAATTATTATCTCATTGCTGTGTGACTCCCAGGCCCTTTGATATGCCAGTATATATGCAGTTGTGAAAACTTAGTATGCCTGTTTCTCAGATTCTTGGGTTTTTGAGACCAAGTCTTACTATGTAGTATAAGGTCCTCCTTCCTCTGCCTCCCACATGGTGGGATTGCGATCATGCATTCCCCATATGAACCTCAAAATTTTGTAGCATGTCATGGAGCTGATAATCTATCTTGGACATATTCATGCCTTGGTTTTTCTCAGACAGGTTCTCACTGAAACCCAGCTGGGCTGGAATCCAGGCTGCTTTCAGACTTACTTTGAAACCCATTACATTTGCACATATTTTGTGAGTAGTGCCAACATGGATCCCAGAGCTCAACACTTGCTCTGCTGGGCATAGTGGCACATACACTTGGAATACTGTCTGAGGCGAGAGCACCCATAAGTAATGAGGCCCGCCTGATAAGGCCTCCAAAAAGATCCAGAATAGCTGGGTATAGTGATGCCTTTAATCACAGTACATACACCCAAGGGTACATAGTGAGACCCTGTCTCAAAAGACAGAAAAGGGAGATGGGGTAGGGATATTGTTAGAGACCAGCGGTGGTAGCACATGCCTTTAATTCCAGTTCTTGGGGGAGAGGGGAGCAGAGGCAGGACGAACTCTTTGAGTTTGAAGCCAGCCTAGTCTACATGTTAAGTTCCAGGCCATCCAGGGTTACATATAGAGACCTCCTCCCCAAAAGATACCATTCTAAACGTACAACAAAACCTACCTTATAATTTCTGATAACCCCCAGGTTTGCCCTGATAGTTTCATCCCAAAACCTTTCCTGGAAGTTTTTCTAGAGATCCTAATTTTCAGTCTTAATTTTTTGGAAGGAACTAGTATAAGTTAAACAGTGAGAGAACTAACAATGTAAGAAGTGGTTTATGTTGGACACAAGAGTCACCAGTGAATTAGCTTGAGGTCAGCCTGGACTAAAAGTAAGACCATGTTAACACCACCTCCATCTCCTCCAACATCTCCCAAAAACCAAAAGCCAGACATGGTGATGCCCATATGTAACTTGAGTAATTGTGAAATGGGGCTGAAGTATCAGTGAGTGTGAGGTCCACCTGTGCCTATAATTTAGCTCAGACTCCCAATAAAAGTCAGGCAGAGGGCTGGAGAGATGGCTCAGTGGTTAAGAGCATTGCCTGCTCTTCCAAAGGTCCTGAGTTCAATTCCCGGCAACCACATGGTGGCTCACAATCATCTGTAAAGAGGTCTGGTGCCCTCTTCTGGCCTGCAGACATGCACACATACAGAATATTGTATACATAATAAATAAATAAATATTAAAAAAAAAGTCAGGCAGAGTGGTGCCCACCTATAAATAATCTCAGCACTTGGGAGGTAGAGACAGAAAGGGGTACATGGGTCATCTGGGCTCCTGACTTGGGGGATGAGGTGTGGAAACAAAATATGTCTTCTTCCTTTCTTCCTTGAACAGTTGGAGATAGCTTTGAAAAAGATATTCAAGTGCACAGCCGGGCAATGGTAATGCACGCCTTTAATCTTAGCACTCAGGGAGGCAGAGGCAGGCAGATCTCTGTGAGTTCGAGTCCAGCCTGATCTACAAAGTGAGTTCCAGGACACCCAAAGCTACACAGAGAAACCCTGTCTCTAAAAATAAGCAAACAATAAAAATAAATAAATTTAAATAAAAGGGGTGGCTGGAGCAATGGCTCAGTGGTTAAGAGCACTGA